CCCAGTGGAGCCTCAGGGCTAGGAAACAGGCATTGTGAACCTATCCAGGAGTTTCAGTACTTTTTCTGCCGCTGTGCAGGAGGACACTGGCTCTCAAATTCTGTTGTGGATGACTACCATTATCCGGGAAGTTTAGATTGTGTGTACTTGGGTTTATAGAGATTCTTTTCATTAATCCTACCGTTGCAAGCATAGTCACACAAGAGTAACCTGGCAGGGCATTTGTATTACCTCTTGTTTGCAGACAAGGTTGTCATGCTATTGGGGCGATCACAATGGTCCTGGAATTTAAATTCATCCATGATTTTTGACTCACCGTTTCTACCACTTGCCTATGCAAGAGAGTGGCATTTGCTCCTGGGACTGGTATCCCAAGAGCTGTTTAGAAATTGGTCCCTAAAGGAACCAGTACAGATTTGATTGAATATGAAAATATACTTTACAGAACCCCACACTAATGGTTGAAGACATGAACATTTGCTAAGGACATTTTTTTACTCATTGGTTCTGTGAGACATGCACTCTAGTATGTAAATACAGTATTCAAACACGTGTCTTCATTAAAAACTCCTATGGTACCTTCTCAGTGGTACACCTTAGAGTGTGGAAAAGTGCAGTGTGTGTGCTGTGGGTGGATAATATCAGGCCACACTATTTTGTTGTTGTTGTTGTTGTTTTTTCGAGATAGGGTTTCTCTGTGGCTTTAGAGGCTGACCTGGAACTAGCTCTTGTAGACCTGGCTGGTCTCGAACTCACAGAGATCCACCTGCCTCTGCCTCCCGAGTGCTGGGATTACAGGCATGAGCCACCACTGCCCGGCCTCAGGCCACACTATTTTTACAGTTATAAAATGCACTACAGACAAGGACAAAATTGGAAAATATGTTTTAAATAATTCTGATCATTTAAATGTATGAGAAAAAAAAGACTCCAATTATCTTTTTGTCCAACAAAAAGCAGCCTTTCCCTGTAGGCATGGATAAAATGGTTTGATATTGTTTGGTTTTTGCTTTGTTTCATTCAATAAATATGCTACTCTGTTTCTCTGTCTGGCTCAGAACTCACCATGTAAACCAAGCCTAGTCTTGCATGGGATTTGCCTGCCGCTGCCTCCTTAATGGTAGTGTTAAAGCAGTGTACCAATAGAGCTGACTCAAACACTCACTTTTAATTTCAAGATCTGATGACATTCAGTTTTATGGCTTTGCACTCCTCCCAGTAGGAATGGCAATGCCTAGATCTTGCTCAGCAAACTGTAGAGATTGGATGCTGCAGTATTACAGTAGTCTGGTTTCTGTGGCTAAGAATGGTTTTCTTTTGAGAATCTTCTGGCGAGAACTCTCTGTTTAGTTCTGTATCCAACATTTTTCAGTTGGAATATTTTGTATTTTGGTGTCTAGGAAGTGTCCAACAAAATTAATCGTTGGAAAATGCACATCAAAAAGACTCTGAGATATCATTTCACACCTGTCAGAATGGCTAAGATTAAAAAATGCTGAGGACCGCCTTTGTTGGAGTGGATGTGGAGCCAGGGAACACTCCTCAAGTGTTGGTGGAAACGCAAGCTTGTACAGCCACTTTGGAAATCAGTATGGTGGTTTCTAAGAAAATCATTCTACCTCAAGACCCAGTGATACAACTCTTGGACATTTACCTAATGGACGCTCAATCATATCACAAGGACATTTGTTCAACAGTGTTCATAGCAACATTATTTGTAATAGCTAGAACCTGGAAACAAGCTAGATGCCCCTTCAAACAAAGAATGGATAAAGAAAATGTAGTACATTTACACAAAAGAGTACTACTCAGTGGTAAAAAAATGATGACCTCATGAAATTTTCAGGCAAATGGACAGAACTACAAAAAACCATGTTGAGTAACCCAGCCAGTTATACCATCATCATTTATTGAATATTTTTCCTTTTTTTCCATCTTGTATTTTTAGTGTCTTTGTCAAAAATTAGATGTTCATAGGTGTATGGGTTAATATCGGGGTCTTTGATTCAATTCCATTGGTCTATCTGCCTGTTTTTTATGCCAATACCAAGCTGTGTCATTACTATAGCTCTATAGTAGAGCTTGAAGTCAGGGGTAGTGTTGCCTCCAGATGATCCTTTATTGTACAGGATTGTTTTGGCTATCCTGGGTTTTTTGTTTTTCCGTATGAAGTTGAGTATTGTTCTTTCAAGGTCTGTGAAGAATTGTGCTGGCATTTTGATGGGAATTGCATTGAATCTGTAGATTGCTTTTGGTAAGATTGCCATTTTTACTATGTTGTTGACTCTACTTATCCAAGAGCATGGGCAATCTTTCTATTTTCTGATATATTCTTTAATTTCTTTCTTTAAAGACTTGAAGTTCTTGTCATGCAGGTGTTTTGTTTGTTTGGTTAGTGGTACTCCAAGTTATTTTATGTCATTTGTGGCTATTGTGAAGGGTGATGTTTCTCTGCTTTCCTTTTCAGCCTGTTTGTCATCTGTATATAAGAGGGCTACTAATTTTTTTTGAGTTAATCATGTATTTTGCTATATTACTGAAAGTGTTTATCAGTTGTAAGAGTTCTCTGGTAGATTTTATTGGGTCACTTATGTATACTATCATATCGTCAGCTAATATTGACAGTTTGACTTCTTTTCCAATTTGTATCCCTTTGTTATCCTTTTCTTATTTTTATGGCTAGAACTTCAAGTACTACGTTGTATAGACGTGGAGAGAGTGGACAGCCTTGTCTCGTTCATGACTTCAGTGGCATTTCTCTGAGTTTCTCTCCATTTAGTTTGATGTTGGCTGTTGACTTGCTGTATATTGCCTCTAACATGTTTATGTTTGTTCCTTGTATCCCTGTTCCCTCTGAGACCTTATCATGAAGGGGTGTTGGATTTTGTCTAAAGATTTTTCAGCATCTAGTGAGATAATCATGTGGTTTTTTTCTTTCAGTTTTTCTTTATATGGTGGAGTACATTGACAGATTTTCATATGCTGAACCATTCTTGCATCTCTGGAATGAATCCTACTTGATCATGGTGGATGATTTTTCTGATGTGTTCTTGAATTCAGTTTGCCAGTATTTTATTGAGTATTTTTTGCATCTATGTTCATTAGGGAAATTGGTCTTTAATTCTCTTTCTTAGTTGTGTGTTTGTGTGGTTTGGGTATCAGTTTAATTGCAGCCTCATAAAAAGTTTGGAAATATTCCTTCTGTTTCTGTTGTGTGGAATAATACTGGTATTAGCTCTTCTTTGAATTTCGGGTAGAATTCTACACTGAAGAAATCTGGCCCTGGGCTTCTTTCTGGTTGGGAGATTTTGTATGAAAGCTTTTATTTCATTAGGCGCTATATGTCTATTTAAGTTGGTTATCTGTTTTTGATTTAATTTTAATTTTCATATGTGGTACTTATCTAGAAAACTGTCCATCTACTTAAAGTTTTCCAATTTTGTGTGTTACAGGTTATTGAAATATGACCTGATGATTCTCTGGATTTCCTCAGTGTCTGTTGTTGTGTCCACCTTTTCATTTCTGGTTGTGTTAATTTGGATATGCCATCTCTGCCTTTTGGTTAGTTTGGATAAGGGTTTCTCTATCTTGTTGAATTTCTCACAGAACCAACTCTTTGTCTCATTGAGTCTTTGCATTGTTGTCTTTGATTCTGTTTTATTGATCTCAGCCCTCAATTTGACTATTAATTGCCATCTACTCCTGGGTGAGTTTGCTTCCTTTTGTTCTAGGGCTTTCAGTTGTTCTGTTAATTCACTAGTGTGAATTTTTCTCAGCTTCTTTATGTAGGCATCTAGTGCTATGAACTTTCCTCTCAGT